TCTCTCTCTCTCTCTCTCTCTCTCTCTCTCTCTCTCTCTCTCTCTCTCTCTCTCTCTCTCTCTTGTGTTTGACGTTTTAATTATTGTCTAATTATTGAATGATGAGAACATAGGAAGTAATTTGTGACACATTTGGCAAAATAAAGTGCTGTATGTGTGACCCCAGGAGTGACTTAATTCTATACCGCATATAATCTTCTTTTGAAATAACAAGTGTTTTATCCAAATCCGATAGAAAGCACTCAAATGTCTTTTATTGACTTATTTAACAGCTTTTTTATTATACATAACATTATACCCCCCTTTAGTACACATTTATCACTACCGGCGCTGCACTGGCGACAGCCCTTACAACTGATAATAACGAGCGATTAATTAAATTATGTGTCTTTGAAATGTAATATAAATGCAATTATTAATCACGCACTCCATGTTAAGTCTATGTGAATATTTTCAACGCCCGTCCCATTCATTGTCATTTCCTTCTTAACGCAAACCCATTTCATCGCCGGTGCCTATGGATGGTGTGATCCCATACTCTGTGCACATATTATTTGATAATATTATAATTTTACAATCGTTTGCACAAATATCTCCATTTCGTAATTAGAATAATTGCTTTGCAAACATCGAAAGATAAACTTATAAAATAAAATGATAATTATTTTATTGCAAAATACTAATAACTTGCAAAATGATACTTGCTGATCTTAATAAGTAGTAATATCATGTTTAACTAATGGGTAGTATCCGGATTTCTCTCTCTCTCTCTCTCTCTCTCTCTCTCTCTCTCTCCCACTCATGAAAATATCTTGAGATCATTAACGATTACAACAACACACATTCAATATAAAATGATTAATTATAATGAAAACTAATTAAATGTCTATCGATTTGTTTGATATACAGAGGAATCGGCTTATTATGAATGCCATTACGCGCCGTGCGCTCGGATAGAGCGCGAGCCGAGACAGTTCTCCATATGTGGTCGCTGTCAGGAGACGCGATACTGTGGCACACAATGCCAACAACGGGACTGGCCTTACCATAAGAAGTACTGTCGGGAGCGACCGCACAGAGAGTGCGCTCCGCAGCAGCTAATGCTTCCGCACCGGACGGATGGCGCGCCCGACAGATAATCGCCAATCGGATCCGTTGTTCCCCTCGCGAGTGGCAAACTATTAGTCTATTTCATAAACGGAATATTCATTACAACAACAAACAAAACAAAAACAAAACTTTTTTTATCGCATGAATAACACAACACATACAAAGTCTTAACAGTTAATGTGAACAAATTATAAACCCGTGTTTTTCTACGTTATTCTGTGTGTAACAGAATATTCTGTGTCTAAACGAGAATTTTGTTGCTAAAAATGTTGTTGTATAAAATGGTTCCCATATATTCTGTATTACGAATTACATTACCATTTAGTATAAGAAACGCCAGAATTAGATAATTAATGTGAATATTTTGAGGAAATGTTGTGTTAATTAAGGGAAACGTTATTATTTATTGAGTTTTCTATTCAAATAGCAGTACTAATCATTGCAAACAAACAAAACAGTTTAAATCGTTATAAAACACAAAATCATTAATCCTTAACACAAAAACTCAAAACATTTCATGAAAACATTTTAAGGAAAAACAAGTTTTTACTCATTTTTATAAAAATACTATTCGTTTTATTATTATTATTAATGTAAAGAATATTTTTATTTATTTTCAATACTTTTATTAATTATGTAATTATATTTTATTCATATTATTATATGTTATTTAAGATAGTTTCCCACAAAACGTCCGTTTAATCCGATTTTAATGATTATTCCTCTCATTACCAAAGTTTTTATTTAATCCATTAATCTGTGATTTATTCGCACAAAAGAATCAATTATTAAATAATAAAAACTTATTTCAAATCCATTAAACATTTGTCTATTATTGAGTCAATTTTCCAAACAATTAATGCATTATTTCAGAGGAAAGCAATTGATTTTATTTAATTACTATTTGAATTACAATTTAACGTTACATTTGATTAATCACTTAATTATAAACTGTTTTGAATACATATTACAGATTGTGAACCAAACGTTAGGCGAGATATTTGAGAAACTTATTTAAATATATATATAAATCGATAATTAAGTGAAATCGTATGGAATGAATGGCATTCAGTGTTCAGTAATTTTATTTTCGGATAACAAATACAAAGCTTAAGACAAAACAAAACGACAAAATCATAGGAAAAAGAAAAATATATATCAGATAATCGTTTTGAATGAATGAATAGTCATTATTATGGAGACAATTAGCGTTTCACTAGAGAATTGTTGTACAAAATAACAAATCATATCCCAAATCAAAGGCCAAACACTTGTGTTTCAAAACATAAAGTTAACTAAAAAACTAATCATTGAATTGTGTTTTTTCGCTAATAAAATAAACATTACATTTGAATGGAAATGTCTTCTCGTCTCTTAACTTATAAATATAACTCAAATAGCAATTCAATCGCAAAAATCAATCAATCGTTTAATTAAATATTTGATGTGTTGTTTAATCGCTACTATGGGGGACACCGCGCGGTTGTGGTTAACGTTTGCCCCCATTGTAACCCATGGGCCGGACGGGCGTCTTAAAGCTGTTGGCCGCCTGTTGCTGGAGCTGATACGCCAAGGGGTGGATCTTAAAGCCGTACAGACGCGGGAAAAACTGGTTTATCGGTCGTTTGGGCCGATACTCCGGGTGTACCATAAACAGCATATGCGGGAAACCGCTGCCAAAGTAGGCGCCGTCCGTGTGGTGATGGCGCGAACTCTTCGGGTTATATATATCCATACATTTAGGACAGTATAGCTTCACCATAGCCTCGCCGGGCAGATCCGACAGACCGATCGGCAACATTGTCTGGTTCTCGCAGTACACGCGCGGACAGTACCCGAAGTCTCCGTTCTGGTACTTGTCGATCATCTGAGCGATGCCGCGATTGGTCAGAATGAATCGCGCGTGGATTAGCCCGTATAACATCTCCGCCGCCTGTTCTATGAGGTCGCTCTGTATAACACAATCGTAGGTATCATTAGATTTAACCAATCATTACATCAAATCAATCCACACAACCCCTAACTCTTCACATAATCGACACGTATATACCGGTCATCATATGGTAACTGACATCATATCCATAACGTATACCAATTGATAGCATACAATAGTATGGTATAAATACGAGTACTGGACGTACGGGTGAAGAGATATACAGAGAGGTGTGTGGATGTGGTGTGACATGTGGTAAGACGTGATGCAAACCTGATTGGGGTTCTCTTCGAGCTCGTCGTCGGGCTCGAGGTCGAGGATCATGTCGAGCGCCTGGCGATAGTGTGGCACCGATTCCGAGAGTCCCGTCAGATTGAACTTGTCGTGGATGTAGTCTTCGTCCACTTCGCAGAAGTACTCATTGCCTCGAAGACCGCAAAACCACGAAATCCATGAAACCTCTTCTGACGACGACATGTCTTCAGAGGCCAATACTGTCGTCGACACCGCCAGTCCTCTACACAAAACAGACACTAAGTTAGCCTATCATCGCATACAACACCACGTGTTTGGCCACTAGTGGTCATTGCGGGGGTGGGGGTCCCGACTCGTACCCCTCCCCACACCCCTCGACCACTTGGCCGGAGCCGAACCGAGTCTTACCTCAATTATAAGGGAGTGTTTTCTGTGATACGAGTGAAACGTTTCGGTCGTTTTACTTGCGATGCAATGATTATGATTACGATTAAGTGATTACTAATTGCTTTGTTGTCAATACAATTGATTCAATGATTGTTTTGTTTGGCGAATGAAATGCGGTTTCAATTGATTTCAAACATAAATACATGAATTGAAACCAATTTATGATTTAATGTTTCACTCGTTTTGTGTTAAATGACTGCTGAGTCCGACGGCGGGGACCCTATTGTCAGTGCTGTCAGTGTTTGACGTTATTAACGATTGAACGCCTGGCGGACACTCGTCGGCTTCACTCACAATGAGATTTCTGAACCGTCCCTTCCATTCAATGCCACTCTTATATACTGTTACGCCAAACAATATGTTTGTCTTATCCGTAAATAACGTTACGCCTAACGATGGGTTAGTGAACTGTATTGAACAATATTGTACAATGTACATGGTCAATTTGGTTTGAGATTTAACAGTAATTTAAGTAAAATTAATTTTAAATCAAAAATAATTTAACTGTGTTTTTATAATAGTTATTTATTAGTATATTTTATAGATATGAACATGGTTGATTTCTTAAAAAGTTTACTACCTATTATAGAATTACGTGTTATCATGGTTATTTTAATAATAAGTTATTATAAATAAAATATTTTATATTTATAATTATAGCTATTTGTTTAATTTTTAAATTAATGATTTTGGTATTTGATTGGTTTGCGATATAATTATAAAATAACATGCTAAAAGTACAATGTTCAATGTTACATAATATAGTCACCATCCGGTTCTTGTTTATTAGTTTAAATATTGCTTAAAATTATAATTTGTATAATCGGCTAAAATGCTGATATTTAGTAATTTATTATTAATGAGAGAGTGAGTGAGTGAGTGAGAGAGAGAGAGAG